GCGACCGCAAAACAGGAGCTCGTGATTCGTTCGACAAACAAGGAAACAAAGTTGTAATTTTCATTTCTTTTCAAATTTGATTTTCGTTGTAACCGGATCTTATAAAAAGACCGGATCTTTTGTAAGAGTCAGCTACCATTGTCCTGCATTAGCGCGGGAGATCTGGCCTTGGCTGAACTCTTGGTGTTTTTCGATTTTCCAGGACTTGTATTTTCTGCCGTTTTGCATATTTGATCAGCTTATTGACTTGTACGCGTCGTTAACTTGCTTCATGCGTTCATTAGCTTCTTTACAGCACTTGGAGTTGACCGACAAGTGCGGCGGGCGTTTGGAGTTGACCGATAAGTGCGGCGGGCGCTTGGAGTTGACCAACAAGTACAGCGGGCAGCGGGCACTTGGAGCTGACTGATGAGTGCGCATGCTAATTAGAGGTGGCTAGTGAGTGCACGAGATGCTTGATTCGCCATTCTGGTGGCCGATGAGCATGCGGGCCACTTGGAGCCCACTTGAAGCCGGCTGATGAGTGCATGGGCCACTTGGAGGTGGCCAGTGAGTGCACGGGCCAGTCGTTTTGCCGATTTAGTGGCCAATGGCTATTCCGGTAGCTTATTGCTACGTCATCAACGGTTCGCCGATTTGCTTCATGTGCTTATCGGCATCGGATAATCTTCCTTGATTCAGACAATGACATTCATCGTCTTCTCTCTGTCTCGAGCTGCATACGGGAACCTATAGGCAATTTTAGACGCCTACAATAATATATTAATAATATATTAATAATATGTTTAATACTAATGTTGTAACGGGTCAAACTAGTATTGACCACAAATACTTATCATGGTGTTTTGAAAACATTTTAATGGAAAAACACAACACCATGATTTTTTATAAAAACACAACAAAGAAAACATCATGGTACCTAAACAACAAGTTTAGAGTTATCGGTTCAGATCTTTTCTATGGGATAGTGACACCTGTCTTGATTAATGCCCAAAGGGCAACTACACCGTGCAATTGGCGAGACGCATCCCTATCACCCGACGACTACCACATAAAGCATAAAATTGATCGTAAAAAGAGATACGGCTTTGTGAAGGTTTATAGTCTTATCTCTCTTATTCCTATCAAGAAAACCTTATATCTTTATATAAAGGGCTTAAAGGTAGAATCATATACTTGTTATAATTATGAATATCTTATCACTAAGATAAGATATTATGTACCCACTTATTTGGGTGTCTAACCAACAGCAGTTTACCCATTGCTCATAATAACATTTGTATTTCTTATCACTCCAGATAAGCATGGAACTTATTTAAAAGAATACCCCAAGCTCAAATATAAAACTTCACTAATCTTTAACATAATCATTAACATCAATTTTCAACATGGAATTAACAAATCTTACATCAAATTCCTGCGTAAGATGACTAGGTGTTTCCTCTACACGTGCACCTACCATACTCTCATTTCTCAAGACATTCATTGCGTAATTAATAACTTATATCATTCCATGCTCACTTTATGTCAGTAGTACTAAATAAGAAAGCACCCGAAATTTAGAATGCCTTTCTTCTTCTTATTTTGATTTTCTTCCATCGATCATTTCATCAATGGTAACTTTTCATTAATATTTAAAATGAACACATCAATTTAAATAGACATCACCATTCATTTCCCTTTTTTATGAAATCTACTAAATAAAGAGGGATAGTAATTAGAACATTTTTTAAATTCATTCTAGTACCTTAAGGTATGGTGTAATACACACTATTAAACTGAGAGTCTGTGTATCTACACGAGAAACCATCATTTATTACCTGCGAGCCTATGTACTTGTGTTTGGACTCTGTTTATTTTTTTTCCTTCTCAAAATATTACCCATGTAGTTGTAAAAGTATGCACCCCGTGCAAAGCATGGCCCTTTATTTTTTTAAGCACCGCATTTTAAATTTGTCTTCCTCTAAATTTTAAAACATTTAATTTAATTATTGTATGCTCAAATTAAAAATCATATTTCCATCTATATACTTAAAAATGATCTAAGTATTAATACATTTAATTTAAAAATCATATCTACTCGTCTATACTTGAAGGAGAACCACGTTTTAATACATTAAATTTGCTTCATTATTTATAATACAGTAAATTACAGTAGAATGAATAGTAACTTGGATCTGATTTACAGGTTATAGTATAATAAATTACTGTAGCATAAACAATAGTTTAGTTTACTGTTTATGCTACAGAAATTCACTGTAATATTTACTATAACGTAAACAACGATTCTTTGGATCCTCGTATAAGTATAGAAGAGTAGATTATGTAATTTTAAGGTTAATTGCATAGAGAGATAGACTCCAAGATCATCCATATAATTACATCATACTTCATGTTGTACCTACTTAATACTTGGAAAATAGACTCTCTAGTGTTTTTTCTGCGATAAAGAGAATTTTGAAACCCTCATTCGTTTGCTGCTTCCAGAAAAGCACCCCGAAAACCGTCTTCATTGGGCTCAGCTCCAGCACTACACTTGTCCCCCTAGGCCCAAAGATAGCGCAAGATTCCACACACAAACAGCGAAGGCAACCACCAACAAAACCCTGGTTGGTGTCTTTAGATGCTACCAAAATGTCGGTGTACATAATTTCCCATCAACTGATGCTTTCCTAATTACAACCCAAAAGGTAAATGGACGACAACCCAATTCTCAGGCGCACACAAGGAACTTGCTCTCAAGAGGGAAAACATTCTAAGATGCTGATATTCGTATTAAATAATCAAAAGATAAGATGCTGATAACAAAGAAACCCACCGAGACTGGGATTTTATCTGAATAAAATAATGACAAGATATTGTATTCTGCAACTAATTTTCCAGGAACACATACAGATGCCGCATGGTAAAAATATTCTAAAATCATGAGAAAGAACCAAGTACCAGCCCCCCAATTCACTGAGATATGTGATGCCTATTGTCTTCTGATTCATAGTTCCGCGAACAGATAATATTAAAACTTTCCACAATACGATGGATGCAGACGTCATTGATCATGTAGCTTTAGGACATCAAAGTTCCTACATCCCAATCACAACCTGCAAGTGCCTAGAATAGGAAACCTACAGAAGTTTAAGAATCAAATTTTAACTCAAGCTTGAAGGGTTGAATGAGGACCCAGTTTTTCTAAGCTAATTGCTCTTTGGGATTCTTCCCCATCATGGCCTGTACTTGCACAACTCAACGCAGGTGTTGAGTTGCGAAGGCCCATGGATAAAGATGGACTAAGCTAATTTATTCGAACACCAACTTACTCAACGGTATCAATCTTATTTCAACCATGAGTCCGAACATATTTAACCATATATTCGTCTAACTACTTTTGCCAATGAGGTAATTAAATTCTATTTCATGTTTTTGCTAGGTCACACCCACATTTTAACTAGCTGGACACAAGAAACCTCCTAATAAACCACCACCTTGCTTCAAATCTGATTCAGTCCAGCTAAAGCCTTCACTGCTAACCAGACCGACACCAAAGGCGAGCACAGCAACATGAGCTCATAAGGGAACCCTAACCTGTGTCAGGCCATCAGAGCCCTTTGTAACATAATGTCCGCTCCCACACGAGCCCTGACCCACACTCTCAAAGTCTTAATAGAAACAGTGTACAAAGGCCGATTGAAGCATGACCTCTCATATCAATTTGTTAGATAACACTAGATGACTTTGAGCTAATCTACTTGGAGCCAATTTGACTCAAAAAGATTAATATGATTTGAGTCACGATTCGAAATATACTTAATCATATATCCATCTAATTGTTTTATAATGTGGAACTAAATTTCATTTCACGTCTCTGGTTAGCCAAACCCCACACTTCAACTGAACGGCAGTGAGACAATCGTAACATTATGCTTTTGTTATTCCCACTAAGAATTGTCCTGTTAACCCTGACTAGGATGCCTCATACACTACCGAAGATCAGGGTGAAACAAATACTAGCGCTATGTCATTGGGTTACACATAAAGAGATACAGATCCCATAAAGAGTAAGATCCACGAGTATTCTTGATCCACTCAGACTCCGCTATCATAAAGCATCACAAAGACTCATTGAACTCTCATGTTCCTCTTACTCTAGATGCTATATCGTGATATTTTCCATACCCAAAAAAGTGCACAAGCACAGATGAAGGGCGTAGACATTGGACAGCAACAACAAGTGAGAAACATTGTGTAGATTAAACTTATGCAATACTAAATTTCTAAAGAAAATAT